TAAGAAGAAGCACAAGAAGAAGCACTCCAAGCACCATGGAGGCAAGGTAAGAGTTTAGGCAGCAGCAGATCCTTCTGAATCTCTGCTGTGCTCCTTTGGACCCCTTCATGTATGCCACAGCATCCAGCCTGGGCAGCTGGGGCTCCCCTCTTCCACCCTTTGGTGGCTGGAGTTGGCTGCCAACACCTCAGTGGCTTTTTTTAGACATGGAGACTCCCCTTTGGTTAATAACTAGGCAAACATGAGTCATTTCAAGTGAGTCTTTTGAAACATGACCCATGAAATTCCTTGAAGCCATTTGAAACAGTGACACAGCTCAGGGTGCACCACACAGTGTAGCAGGAATTTGTCTTGCTCACCTGAAAGCAAGTCATGCCTCCGTAAGGGATATTTGCTCAGCATCCTGCAGCAGAGGAGCAGTTCAGTTCCCTCTTAAAATACAAAAAACAAAACAAAACAAAAAAACACCCAAAAAAAGGAAAAGCAATTCTCTGTGACAGGAGTAGATGTTGCAGAAAATGCCATTCCAGGGATGGGCACCATCCCGAGTAGATCTGAGTGAGGGATTGTTCAACAAAACCCCAGTTCCACCATTTGAATGTTCCCAGTAGGAGCATTTTCCAAACAGAGCAAATCATCACCTCCTCTCACTGTGTAACAGCTCTGCCAGTGATCTGCCTTGATGTTTGTCCTTGCTGGCAGAGAGCAGAACCCTTCTGGAATTTGCTTATTTGGCCTGAACAGCCTTGTAAAATAATAATAAAAAACCCAGCCCTCCCGTGATATGCCCATAATTGTATTCTCCAAGCAAAAAAATAATGGCTCCAAACTCTAAAACGTGGTTCGTAACAACATTGCAATAACCTTTGTGGTGATGTTATTAGTAGCCATTTTATCTTCAAGTCAAGGTATCCTGGCCGGGGTTTGCTGTCTGAGGCCCTGGTGCTGTGCTGACTCCCATGCAGGCTCACCCTCTGCACGGCCCCTGGGGCCTTGACGTTAACTAATTACCTTGCAATCCAGCCAGCTGCAAACCTGAGGACACCCCTTTTGCTGGCATGCAAAGACACCTGGGGAGAGGTGGGTCCGCAGCCACCACTGCTGCAGGCTCAACCTGGACCCAGCTGGGCACTCACCACAGGATCACTAACATCTATCAGAAATAGTGTGAAAAAGGGTTGTTTCCATGCTACCCTAAAGTTGTTTTATCTCCTCCAGCACTCCAGCAGCTCAAGCAGCAGTTCTGACTCTGACTGAAGAGGACATCTCCCACTTGCACGCAGTGATGCAACAAAACGCGAAGCTGAACGCCCCATGGGAACCACCTGCATGTTGCTCCACTCCTTTCCCCTTTCTCTTAGAGAGGTGTTTTGCCTGCTGAATGATTTTCTTGTTTTTAGCTTGTAAATTCTTTGACCTGGAATCGCTGTGAGATGGTGGGAAGCAGCTCTGTCTTTTGGGAGAGTCCACTGAAAGTCATCCCTGAGGACTGCAGCATTCTCGCTGGGAAAGGTGTGCTTTCACCACAATTTTAACACAGGGCTGCTTTTGTTGCTGTTTTATTTTTGTTTTGCACATTGTCATAGCTCAAGAGCACCCTTCCCAGCCTCATTATCAAGAAGGGTTTGCTGCCAGCCAGTGTAGCTGGCTGTTGGACCCAGTGGCATAAACACAAGCAGCTCACCGTGGCAGAGGGGATATCCAAAAGAGGTGGTGCAGCCCATCTCACCGAGATTTACTGCCAGCACAGCCTTGTTCGTCCTTGTTGCACTGCTGGCTGGGCATGTGCACGTGCTGGGGCAGTGGGATTTCACTCCTGCGGCTCCTCTCTGGATGCAGTTGTGTTTTGTCCTGTGGCTTTCAAAGCTACCCTACAGCCCTCCTTTCCAAAGGAGCGAACTGCAGCACACATGGCCACAGCTCCCCACCACCATGCCCTTTCCTGCACCCTCACTGCTGGCACCCTGTGCCTGGGTTCCTCTGTGGACAACCCAAGCTCTGCCCAGCCTCTCCTCCCCATCCTACTTCCCCCACCACGGATGCAACCTTACAAAAATGCCCCTGTCCTTGGAGGGTTCCCCTGGCCCACTGTCCTGGCTTGAAACAAACAACTATTGGATGCAAGAGGGGCTGAAGAAAGTGTGGGTAAAGGTGCAACGCCACCTTCATAGTGGGGAAAGGCACAGCCCTCCTCAAAGAGGGGCACCTGTGGACTTCTGCTGTCCTCATCTGTGAACAGGTGAGGAACATGAAGCAGGTGAGCAATGAAGACATGGTCTTTGTTATGCTGAGAGACCACAGTTTGATGGGCACTAGGGGGGTGCGGGGCCAGGGGGCAGAGGAACAGGTCTGCTAGGGGACTGCTGGAGACAGTGGGGAGAGCTGGAGGGGCCCCATCAGCATCCTGTGGTCTTTCAGGTCCTCAGCAGTGCCCTGTTGTCCTGGTTCCAACAGGGATGGGATTAATTTCCCCAAGGAGCTGGCAGGGGACGAAGGCATTCCATCCCACGTGAGCCATGCCTGGGCTATAAGAGGAGCTCGCCGGGGAGGGGGGGGGGCAGTCACCACTCGGGGGTGGGCTGCAGTGGTCTGGGTCCGGTTGGTGCGCTGCGGTACTGTAATCATGTCTTTATATCCCTTTATTGGTGTTATTGTTGTTTTTTTTCCTCTTTCCTTTTGCTGTTCTGTTAAATTGCACTATTTCAACCCATGAGTTTTGCCTTTTTCTGTCGATTTTTCCCACGGCTGTGGGAGTAGAGTGAGCAGCTTCATGGTTCTTTGTTGCTGGCTGAGGCCAAACCACGACTGACGCCTGTGCTGCAGGGACCTCTGGCCCTGGGCTCCAGCGTTTGCAAGCAGAGGCAGAATACAAAGTTATCTGGACTTAACAGCTTAGCACCAGGAGAATCAGCTACTCATTAAAAATAACCAAAAAAAAGAGACACACTACAGAATAAAGAGGCTTTTTCAGGATAGGGTGAAAAGAGTTTATTTCTTTATTTTTGCAGACAGCACAATTCAAGTTCAAATCTGGGCATTTCTCAGCAGATACTGGTAGGAAGACGGCACCATGGTTAATTTGAGCACATTTGGGATGACAGGGAGGCAGATCTGGCGGCTGCCCAGTATTTTGTGAGATGCTTTGAGCTATGCTGCCCCTCTCAGCCATGATTTTGGGGGCAGTAATAAATGAACAGTTTCTGATGAAGGTCAGAATGGCAGAAGGAAGCAAGGGAGATATGGCTCACAGGCAAACTAAGATCTTAAAGATGATCTATGAAATTTAGGATAGATAGAGCCCCAAAAGGAGCATCTGAAGACAACTGTAGAAGGCAGCACAACCTCTCACCATGCCATTGCTCCCAAGAAAGAGGAGCAAGCCACCAAGGGCCACGCAAAAGGAAGGTAAGTTGATGACAATTTCGAGCACCATGTGATGTGTCATAAACTCACTTGGTTCTCTCAGGGCAGAAGTACTGAGAGAACAAAAAAAATGAGATAATCTGGAAAACAGTTTGCTAAAGAATGGGGGATGTCACAACCATAAAGGTCCTCACAGGATGCTGAGGGATATTGAGAGTTTTTGAAAATGAGAGATGATCATTTGTCCTACTACACTGGAAAGGTTTCTCGCTTCTTTGACAAGCTCTCCTAGGATTACAGTATGTATGCAAGGCATGGCTTAGTGTGTGTAAAGCTTTACAGAAGTATGTTGTATGGCTCTGTATCCTGCTTTGATCTTGGTTTTAATTAGCACCATAAATGTTAGACACACACCTTTTCATCATGAAAATCAAAAAGGAGCTCTGGATTTTGGCTAGAAAGGAGGACCCAGAGGGCAGCTGTTTTGGGTCAGCTCAAAGTTGCTAGCCACCATATAGAGGGAAGAAAACGAAACAGGTAATATCAGGGGGGTGTAATTGGTCAGAGGAGTATACGTGCACTCCCTTCATTTAACATATCCACCTAATGAACCTGTCAAAGAAGCTGGGCTGGGAGAGGCTGTCATAGTCCTTTTCCCGGAAGATGGCTGCCCGGTCCCCAAGGCCAAGCTCCAGCAGGACATCCATGTCTACATCACTCCCAAGAGCCACGACTGTGGGCATGACATCTTGCTTCTTCATGGAGTTGATGGCCTCCTCAAGGTTCTTGCTTCCTGTGATGCCATCAGTGATGAAGACAAAGGAGAGCTCAGCATTGCGCCGGGCAAGTCGCTGCCCATCTCCTGGGCTGAGCACGATGTTGTTGATGGCATGTATGATGGCTGAGCCGATGTTGGAGGACGAGTCCAGGTACTTGATCTGTGCCAAAGCGCTGGAGATTTCCGTCAGGTTGTAGGTCAGTGGGAAGACCACATCCTGGTCCCTCTCACTGCCATACTGCAGCAGTGCAATCCGGGCATTCATGTTGTCACTGTTGCTCCTGGCCAGCGTGAGCTGGCCAGCCACCTCCTCCACAAAGTGGTGGGCCCTGTGGAAATTCTGCTCTCCGATCCTTTCAGAGCCATCGAGCAAGAAGACGACATCAACGGGGCGCTGTGTGCACTGGGCCACTGCAAGCTCTGCAGAAGAAAGAAGAAGACAAGGGTTGGGAGCATAAGAAAGCCTACAGGATAAGGTTGGAGCTTGCCTCAGGCAGTATGGGCTGGAATTGCCTCTGTGCGTCTTTGTCCAAAGAAGGACCAGCCATACTCTGCTCCCAAACCCTGTCTTTGCAGCTGCTAATGTAGGAGCTTTGCTTCTGATTCCCTCAGCTCCAGGGCACTAGGTCTTAATGAATGTTAATTCTGGGGCCTGTGACAGACCTCCTCAAGCATCCATGAGATTAGACAGGTCTGTGCAGTCCCAGAATTACATCCACCTTTTTACAGCAATGTCCAGTTCTTATCTGTAACGGGCATATCCAGAGATCAATGTCAGGCAGTGTCTGCAAACCTCTCAGTTACTTCTAGAGAGTGGTTTACTTTCAGAGTTACTCTTCACACACATAGCTTCATAGCTTTCACCCAGATTAGTTTAATCAGCAATCACTAATTCCTGAAGATCTTCTAAAGGCTGGGTCATATGGTTGGAGAACAAGACTATCCTTGTTGATGCACCTGTATGTAAAGCAGCTTTTGTAATATATAACAGACCAATATTTGAGTGCAACACAGTGGGATATTGTTCTTCAGTCACTCAGAACAGCACCTGTCTACAAAGCAGGCATGTGGGCATATGAATATACACAGTGAATGAACTCGGAAAAAAAAGTGAGGAGAAAATAGCAGACTTTGGAGACAGCTGTTAGTTAGGGACCATTATTTTGTTCCTTTGCAGTAGCTGTATGTATTGCTTTTGGTGTTCCTCTGCCTGCACTGCTTCTCTGAGAAACACTTCCATTACTGTACTGTTGAATTTTCTTTTTCTTTGAGTTTCCTTCTCTGCTGAAAGCACTAGTCAGGGATATGACTGCAGCAGCAGTACTGATTTGTGATATACCTGATGTGGCTGGTCACCCCCTGAGTTTGCAGCACGGCAACAGCCATATCACTGTCAAAAAATTCTTTGGCTCTAAGACTGAATCTTGAAAGAGTGAAGTCCTGGAACTGATGTCACGTTGTGTTGCAAGGAACAGGAGATTCTGGAGCAGCCCCAGCTTAAGCATCCATTTCTGGCAATGAGGGGTAACTTTTGGGATAGGAGTATCGTGTTAGATAGAATTTCTGTACTATGAGCAAATCCAACTTGACAAAGTGCTTCCTCAGTGCTGACCTGGATTCAACATGGCAGGGTGCTGAACCAGCGTAATGCCTTGTATGAGCTGAGCAACAAATGGATCATTGTTTAGTACATTAGTGCTATGTGTGTAGTTAACATTTGGCAAACAGTGAAGATATATTTTAAGCAAAATAGATACATGCACTCTTGAGACTATAGAGACAGTATCCAATAGCACAAGATAGTGTAGCAGAAGCTCTGATAGTGCGTATCATTGAGCTTGCAGACTATTTGGCACCGCTTTCATCCATGATACAACAGTCAAACCCGATATAGAAACTTCTGATGGTACTTGCAATTTAACCTAACTTGGCCATTGCAAAAGTATGTGGTTGTTTCTGTATCATGTTCCCTGACCTTGTAGACTGGCATTTCTCCTTAGCCCACACTGTAAAACATATCTTCAACAACAGCATGCCTTGAATGGTGCTTACTGTACATTGTCTTACTGCAAACGACAGGCTTCTGCAATGCCAGTTCTGACTGCAGTAGAAACCAATCTCCAAGTGATGCTTTTTCCCCCATGAGCTTTTTGAATATTGCTTTTTGAAATTCAACTGTGATACTCCACTCCTTCAAAGCAATAAAGGTACATACTCACCTCTGCCCAACCCTCCTTGAGAAATGTTGTCTAAAGGTACATTGATCCTGCAGTTCCCAGTATGCAGGCGCTGCTCCCACAAGGATACTTTGCCTTGGCAGTGCCTGCACTCCTGGTCCTCACCTGCTCTGTGCAGTCATGGAGGAAAAAAGGAAAGCAGGCATGCCCCTTCCAACCAGAGAGTCCAAAATATACGTAGGGGTCTGCGAAAGCAGGTGGAAGCAAGTGGGTGGGAGTGATGGCTGCATATCGCGTTGGAGAAGTGTTACCAGTCTGTCTCCCCCGATGCTTGTCTACATATAGTCATGTTTCTTGAAATGACAAACAAAATCCACCCACCTCCCACATGACCTGAAGCAAGCCTTAAGAACTCCTAGTTACACAGCCTGTGGCTGAGAGTAGCATCACTCCGTGGAGCTTCAGTGAGAGCATAACTCACGCCTGGCTCTCCAGGCAGCCTCTACTGCAGGACCACTCCCCAGAGACACTCTGCTCGCTGCTCAGCTGGAAAGTGTTGCCTTCAAAATGTGTGGTAAGGTGCTTTTACATATGAGTTATCCCATTAGAATGTAACAGATGTGAGGCAGCGCAGCAGAACCTTGAGTTTGTCCTGTTCAGTGTCATGCTTCAGTTGCAGCTTGTTGTTTCTGGGAGGCTGAGGACCCAAATGCCCTTTCCTGCAGCAAGGAACAAGATTCTCATCCTTAAACTGGGAGATAAGCTCTCAGAGGCACCACTACAAATAAGGCCAACTGAAATCTTCACATTGTGCTTTTATAATTGGAGCACCAGTCCTTCTAATGTGGCTTACAGCAAGCCATGAGCTCGCTCACCGTACTGCATACTGTGTTCTAGGACACAGCAGAGGACATCTAACAGAGATAGCACAAAAAGCAGAAATACCATTGATTTTCCTGCCATTAGCAACCCATCTAGTCAGGTGCATGTTAGAGTAACCCCACCAATTCACATCATGTTCCTGCTTCTTCTAAAACCTGGGTAACTTGTATTTCTTCTATTGTTTCACAGCATTGACAGTGGAGATGAAAATGACAGTGAGATGGGGACTGACCTCCCAGCCCTTTCTGGGGCTCCCCCCTTTCACACCATACCCACACACTTCTGTCTCTGGGGAGGTGGGACTGTCCTTTCCCCAGCCCCTGATCTGTGTCCTTCCTTTGCCCGAGAGCTTCACTAAAGGAACCGCCGCTGTGATGAAATCTATCTCATTTTATCAGAAGGATTAGCCAAGATTACGTTAGCAAACACTACACCCACTTGCCTCTGTATTACAAGGGCCAATGGAAATACTGCTCAGGCAAAGACATATTTTCTCTCTCTCTCTCTCTCTTTTTTTTCCCCATAATGAGCTGAAGGGTTTTGAGGGGTAAAAATTTTTTTCCAATGTTACACTGCTTTGCTAGGAAATATTTGCAAAGGAAATGAAATAAACAGCCACTGTGTGATGAAGTCCAACTCCTCTTTGCTGAAGGCTTACTGAATCCTCATCTTGTTCAGCAAAATGTCCCTGCCCTGAGATGTTCTCTTCAGATCAGCGTTTCTTTGGGGTGTTTCTTCTAGCATCGTGGCTGGAGCAGCTTAACTACTCTGAGTTCAGTCTTCTTACTTGCATCCCAGCAGGCTAGGTCACATGCTACTTTTGGGGTAAAAATCAAAACAGAGTAGGGAGGAGCTTGGCTTTGCATAGACTACCTGGAATATGTGGATTATGACCATATGTTAGCATATGGACTCATACACAGGCAGATCCTCATCCTTTTGCTTTCACCTAAAACTCTGAGCACACCATTTAAAGCTCTCTGACAATTCTCCCTCCATTATATGCCAACAGCAGAGTTCTCTGAGCTCCCTGTCCCTACAGACCAAGAGCAAAAAGTACCGAGACCTTGGGAGAAAGACTATATTTGTGCAGTGCGTCTGACCTGCTCATGTGCTGACTGACACAAACTCTTCCCCTGCATGCCTGTCACTGGATGGCTTCTAGCCTAGACTGACCAGACCCAGATGGTGAAAACACTGCAAGAAGCTCCAAGTGGGCAAGTTCCTTGTTCCAATTCCTGTGACTGAGCTTGGCAACTGGCTCCACTTTGCACACCTGGAAATGTTACAGCCCAACCACATTTTTTAAGACCATACATCTCCCTTCTGCCCATTAAACATGACATTTGCTCAGTATACTTTATTGCAATAATACCATGTCAGTTAGAGAGGCTGCAAAATTCACTTGCTGGCAGTAAACGCTTCTACTCTTGTGTCTGCACACAAAATGCCATTTTCTTTTCTTACAACTTGAGAGGGCAGTAGTTATTTTGGAGGCAGGAATAGCAGTCACCTTCCTGGCTTTTTGTGAAAACCAGGGGCAGCTGAGCTCATCACTCCTCATCTGAATGCACGTACCTGCAGAGCAAGTGGTGGGTCTGTAGTCTTTCACCAAATTTGGTTCGACAAACTAGCACTGGATATAGATTGAATGGGTTTAAATACTTGCTTTTGAATAGCTCATGAAGTGTGTCACAGAGGTTTTACTGTGCAGTCATGGATTTTTGCTTTGGGCTTCCTGGTTCTACATAACCTCTGCCTCTTAGATATGAACAGGTACACATTGCCAATGAAGACAGAAGAAACACGAATGCACAAGCAGAGAAAAAGGCAGAGGGAGCTCATACAGCTTCTGAGAGAAGCACTCCCCAGGTTTTGGTGCTCTCAATGGAAAGCCAGGGTTGTCCCCTCTTCCATACTGTTTGCGCTTTCCTCTCAATATTCCCAACTGCTCATTGAATGGTTATACAGAGAGATGCACTGTGGAGAGAGGAGATGCACGTTGCTTTTGCAATCTTGCCACACAAATGGTTTGCAGAACCCAAAGAGAGCCCTCACAGTAACCCAGCAAGAAGCTGCAGAAGATGCTTTAGAAGCAGTCAGCAAATACGTACATAGGAAGATGTAGAAAAAGCACATCATTAAGCTCTCTGCAAATGAGGGGCTCACTCTGGCCCTCAGCCACATGTGTGCTGGCAGTATCCTTGGTGGAGCCTGGTGCTCGCCTGTGGCTGAGGGCTGGGACGTGCTAGCCTGCCAGAGCAAGGTGGGACCACAGGAGGGCTGGAAGGGGGCAGTGTGGCTGGCTCAGAGATGAAGGCAATGCAGCTCCTCTGCAGAAAAACAGTGCGCAAAACCAGAGCATCTCTTGACATCACTGGAGAAGGCCGCCATGCTCATCAGCCAACCAAGCCAGAGAGGACTGTCCTTTGTGCCACATCCCCGGCTAAGCGCTACCAAGCCATTTCACTGCCTGTGTTTCTCCTAAACTAAAACCAATGTACCTGTCCCCTCTGTCAAATAGGCACTCGAGGAAAGATGATTACTACCTCCACTCAACCTCTGCCTCTACCTGCTTCATGCGATCTCTAACAGAGATGTCAGCAAAGCCCTAGCACGGTTTCTGGGTCCCCCACAATCTCACTGTGCACCATTTTGAAGGTGTCAATGAACAAGTCCATCCATTCTTGCCGCTCATTTCCAGTGGCAAACTTGGCTTTTTCGGCGGTAAAGGCCAAAGTGGCCACCAGCTGGGTGTACATGCTGGGGTCCTGGGTTTCCCGCGTGGAGTTTAGGAACTGGGCGATCGAATGTATGGTGCTGGGGAAATCTATGTTGACTCCCTCTTCCATGGGGCGGAAAATAAGTGGGTTTACGTTTCCAGGGTTCCTGTCATCTGTAAGTGAGCGTCAAAAGAATATTTTCAGCGCTTGCTAGCAATAGCTGTGTCTCTGAACGCTATCTGGCTTTCCTACGTACACTGCACCAGAGAAGAACAGAGCTAACAAGGGAGAGAGAAGTAAAGATCAAAGCCAGATTTTAAATCTTTCTGTGACTTTTATGTCTGAGGAACCACGGGATTTGCGCCAAAATCAATCAAACATCAACCAAGAGACTTCAGAAAATGACATGAAACCTTAACTGCCCAGTTCCTTCCCACTCATCCAGCATAGGCATGATGGAGAAACAGCAGCACTCAGGGAAGAGGCCCATGAGGTCCAGCTTCTTTCTTCATATGGGATTCAGCAATCATGTATCTTTGAACTCTGCTACGTTCAAACTGTACACATGATGCTGTACAGCCAGAAAGACATCTAAGGGACAGCATTATGTGAACTCCTTGTCTGGCACTCAGCCCACTGCACTTTGGCTAGAGTCACTGCCCTGCAGTATGCAATGCCCCTGTGTGGTGTCCAGGCTAGTCAGGACCCCAAGAGCCTCCATCTCCACCTGTCTGTGCTGAACTTAAATTCAAGTAACATCCCAAAGCGCAAAGCAAAGCCTTTTGCGTGGGTTAGAAAGAACGTCACAGAGCGCCATGCGGTTTCTATTCAAGCAAGTGGTCAGTTCAGATTTGCTCAGCATTTAACCTATTTAACACTCCAGCATCCTGTTAGCACTGCAGTAATCGATGGGCAGTTACCAGGAGACAAGGGTCAGCCCTGAAAATGGGAAAACCTGGATTTCCTTAGGCAAAGCACTAAGGCACCACACCTTCAGCTACAGATGTGAACCCGAAGTGCTGACGTGCCTGGCTCTGCAAGGCAGCAAGGAAGGAGCCAAAGTGTATGTAATACCTGTCCCTCTCTGTGTTCTGTTGACAATACCCAGGCTGGAACTGGGGTACCTGGCACAAGCAATTTATTTGCTCCTTAAAGTGCCAGGACTGCAACTCTGACAGCCATGGGGCCAAGAACAGGGCTGGCTCCCTGACCTGAACCTGTCTGGCCTGCCTATGACTGGATGCACATTGGATGTGCATGAAGCTCACTTACACACCCTGCCAAGGGCACCATCTCCATCCAAACAGTTTGCATGAGAATTGCACCAACTCTTGAGATGTTTTCAGAGAACCAGAGGAAGATGAGCATTAAGCAGAGAAGCTCCAGGCTCTGTCACGTGCCTTATGTCACATCCAATGAAACATGTTCCCTTGCCATGAGGCAACTGTGATCATCATTGCAAACTGATGACAGCAATGCATCATGAACCATCCGGTGAAGCAGGTGGAAGGCGCTTTGCCCAAAGTGCCTTGAATCACTTGATATTACTTAATACCCAATTGACCGGGCCTAGCACAGATCCTTGCACACTGGGACAACTTCTGCCCATACTGAGATGGGTGTACTAGCACTTCCACAGGAGGTCTGCACCTACCCAGCCATGTGCCTCCACCTCCCACATCCTCTGGGGCGCAGGTGTATGGCAGACGACTTGACCTGGCCTGCCTATGGCATGACTTGAGGGATTCGCCCACGAGGGAACACCCTCAGAAGTCTCCTCAAGCCATTTCTGTTCTGGTCCCCAGGACTGCCAGGTACCAGCGAACTGTTCTCACCTTGCTTCAGGAACAGAAACACCCAAGTGCACAACAGGGAAAGGATCACCAACTTCGCTTTGCTTTGGAGGGCTTTGATGGCCCAAGCCTAGGAGAACATGACGGTGCCACTGCTTAGGTCAGTCTCTCTCCTGAAGTGTTCCTCAGAAATGGGGAGTCTGCAAAGACCAAAACCTTTGAAGACAGCTCAGCAGTCACCAATGTGGCATGGGGAAGTCACCTCCTTGTGCATGGATCTGCAGGGCAAAGCTCCTCAGAGGACACTGCAGAGGAGCCTGTGCGGACAGCTTAGCATCATGGTTGGACATTGTGCTCTCTTCAGGGCCAGGTGCAAATACTCAAAATACTAGTAAGAGATTTCAGATGGGAATAATTATAGCTCTTCTGTCTTCAGATTTCTGAACATCCTGTGACCAGTTTTCCTTTACTTTATGTGGAAACAATGGGACTTCTTTGAAAATGAAATTTGAGATTCTGTATAATACTGAAGCTGGTGACTTTCACAAAAACATTCACAGCAAGAGCAGAGATAAAAATTGCAAGAACTGGCAAAACTTTGTCCCCTATAAGCTTTGTGTATGTCAGCAAATAGTGCATCTATTGTATTTAAACAGGCACAGAGACTCAGACAGACAGAATCTATATGAATTCAGGTTGCAGATCTGCCCCTTAACAAGCAAAATGTTATCAAGTAAAGCTATCTGCAGCGATCCTCTTTTATACCAGAAGATCCTTACAGACTTTTTCCTTTAGTCCAACACCCTGAGTTAATTGTTAATTAAATACAGCCAGTGTTACAGAAGCCAAAGCTTTGGGTCCACTATGGTGTCATTTTCCAAGTGATACCTAATCCCTGCTCTGCCCTTGTCACTCCCAAGGAGTGTTCTGCCCAGAGCTGCAGGTTGGGCTCTGCATTTTAAAGGTCACATGGGTGGGAGAGTTTAGCAAGGGAGTTTTGAGTTGATGTATAATAAAGACAAGTGAGAAATTAATTGCCAAGTTTGGAGGTCAAAACCTGGTGGCTCCCAGGAATTGGGACAGGGAGAAATATCAGGGCTGAGCCATGTTAGTTCACTAACATGGTGCACTTATACCTACCTGTGCAGAGAACTCAGAGAGACAGGAAAAGAGCAGGAGATGAAACCCTGGAGCCTCTCCTCATGTAAAGTAACACTATTTCCCAAACTTCTGCCATCCAAAGGGAATGAACAGGGTTGCACGCCCCCTTCCCACTCCTGAGCCTTGTGCACTATCCTCCGGACCTACCACTTTGTGCAGATGGAATGAAGCTACTTGTAATGTTTACCTGTCTGACAGGGCAGCTCAGGGCAGACGATCTGTGGATCTGCAAGGAAAAGAAATAAGGAAAACTGAGTGGTGTGCTGCCACCCCCCTTCATGGCTTGCACAGACAGGGTAGCAGGGCAAAGTCTCTTAAAAGGGGAAAGGACTCCAAAGGACTGCCCCAAAAGGCTGACCCGTATCTGAGGAAGGACCGTTTATCCAGGGCTACATAAAGCCTCCACCATGAATGACCCAGCTTATGAGCTGTTGGCCAACCTGCTGGGACAAAGCGTCTCTGCAATCATTGCAACACACCATATATTCCCCCACCCCAAACCCTGGGGGTGAAAACTTCTGCTCCAGTAAGAACTGTGCAAGCACAGGTACAGACCTGGGCAGAGCACGTCCTCCATCTTGTCAATGAATTCCTCTGCCACCAGGTCTGAGAAGAGTCTCATCTTCTGGACTCGCTGGGGTTCATTGCAGGCGATGGAGACTAGAGTTTCACTCTGTTCTGGCTGATCAAACATGTCTCCAATGCCAATGGTGTTGACAACCACATCTCTACCGCAAAGAGCCCCTAGGTTCTTGTCGTCATCCCGGGGGTCGTAGCGCCCATCTGTGATCACCACAGCAAACACTTGGGCTTTCTCTCGCCTGCTTTCCTTGATGAGCTTGTTGTAGGCAAACTGAAGGGCAGATGGTGTCCAGGTGCCTCCAGCGATCCACTCCAGGCGCTTCACTGCTTCCTTGAAGCTTGATAGTGAATCAATGCGCTCATCATCAAGCTTGATGGCTTCGAAGGTCCCCTCATGACTGTACTGCACCACCCCAACACGGGCACCTGCCAGTGAAGCATCACATTACTTGGCTTTTCATTCTCAGTGAAAAGTGGAGAAAGTCAGCAAACTTTCATATTAGCAAAGAGCTGCCCAATTGGCCTACAAAGCCGGGAAGGGAAGATGGAAGAGCAGACACTGCTGCAAAAATGCTGGATGGATTGCAGCCCAGGGCAGCTACAGACAAACATGGAAGCTGTAGGGATCCAAGACCCGTTTCTTTTCCCTGTGCCCCATTCTGTCCCCACACAGTCCAGACCTGTCTGTGACTTGGGATCTTTGGCAATAGACCCCAGACGGCTGACCACGTTGACAACAAAATTTTTCTCCAGGGTGAAATTGGTGTAGCCAATACTCTCCGAGCTGTCTATGACGAACATGATGTCCAGGGCACCGCAGCGCTTCTCACAGTCTGGGGAGAGGGACAGATGGAGGAAAACACAAAGGTCAATGATGGTGGGAACAAGAGCCACCAGGGCAGAAGAGACCATCTATGGGAAGACAGAAACAGTTGGTTGTCACACAAAGCATCCACAGGGTTTGTAGTGCTGCCTGCAGCTGTTGGCATAGGGAGGATTTTACATGCATCTTTCTGTTGACATATATCAAAAGAAACCTTTTTAATATTGCTGTGTAACACACCCTATCATATCATCTGGACCATGCAATTCTGTATTACAGCTCATTGGCCCTGTGATGGCAGAGCAAAATTTTGGGAGGTAAGCCAGGCAGCCCCTGCAGTGCCACTGCACTTAGTGGTGGGATGGGACTGAGGTGAGCAGGGAAGGACTTCCTGTAGTGTCTCCTCTGCAGAGTGCAGCACTCTGCAGAGTTGCCAAGTAGCCCACCATGCTGGCAGCTCAGTGCAAAGGGCAGTTCACCAGCAGAGCTCCCTCCCGAAGAAGAAGGCAGCCTCTAGAGACACCCTTTCCCCATCCCTCAAGTGATCATTTCCCTGCCCTGGGGAGAGGCAATGGTCTGCTCACCACAGCATCCGCATGTCTCTCGCACGTAGGTCATCACGTCGCAGTCCTGCCAGCAAAGGGGTGCAGGGTGAATGCCTCCCTGCGGTTATGTAGCATCTGTCCCCTCTAAGGGAAAGGCTCCCCTTTCCCTTCCCACCCAGCCAGCCCTCTTTCCTTGGCTCCCATGGGAAGCCACAGGCCACCTCTGCTGGGCAGCAGTAGGACCTGTGATGCCCTGTTTCATTCTCAGGCTGTGCACAGCAAAGCCACAGTTGCCCCAGGAGGAAGAGTGCCGCGGGCTGCAGACCAGTGCTACTTACAGTCAGGCCAGGATCTCCTGGTGGGCCAGGGGTCCCCTATAAGAAGAGTACAGGGATGTCAGGCACAGTTTTCCCATGAGTTCCCTTTTTGGGAACTAGATGTCAGAGCCATTAAAAATGTGGCTTTTTGCAGAGGTCTGCCACGGGAACAGTAGGAAAGCCTCACTGGGAGCCAGCAGACATATCTGGCAGCTGCTGTCCCCTCCAGCAAGCCCTGCTGCAGACCCACTGAGGTTGTCTGGGCTTTAGAGCATCAAGGCAAAGTGGGGAGGAGAGGAGGAAGTTGCAGCATCTGCTCAGACACAATGGCATAGTACTGTACCTCAGGGCCTGCTTCACCAGTTGGACCACGGGGTCCGGGCTCACCTCCCGGGCCAGGATCACCCTGGGGAAGAAGCAAAGATGGGTCAAATATTTCCCCAGCAAGGCTGGCAATGCAGCCACTGGTGTTCAGGCTCCTCCTGACCCCCTTGTCAGGCACAGGCCTGCTAAGCATGACCACCAGCATGCCACAGCTGAGCTCGGGGACACAGGGCAGGCAGGAGAGCTGGCAGTGCCATCCCCAGCACACCTGGCAGAGGTGTGAGAGGGGGACACTGACCCTACAGGCAGTATGGGAAGGCTGCTTACCGGTTCCCCCTTCTCTCCTTTGGTCCCTTGCACTCCCTTTGGTCCAAGCTCACCTCTTCCTCCCTGCTCGAAGGAAGGAGAAACATATCCAGTACAGAGCACATCTGGATGTGCTCAGGCAGAGACACTACAGATATGAGGCCGTCAAAAACACATGCCTGCCTGGCCCAGGAGAGCATCCCCTAAACCAGCAGCTCAGTGCAGAGCAAATAAGTGTTGTTTACACAGGCATTAACTAAGAACAAAGAAGTTTTGAAAAGCATATTTCAGACAGTTTCAAAAGGAGATGAGCTTGGGAGATACACTGCAGGGAATAGCCAGGGCAGCTGCTGGAAGGACAGGCTCCTCACCATGCACCTGGAGGGTCAGGCAACAACTACTCTGCATTTCAGTCTGTACAAAAACCAGGCAATGGAGACAAACACACTCACCTTGGGTCCCGGGTGCCCTTTCTCACCCTTGTCACCCTGCGAAGGGAGAGGAGGGAGAGGTCAGCATCCAACTGGTACCGGCCTCCAACTGTGCATGCAAACATCCGAAGTTTGCAGTGAGAGGCACAAAACTGAACAGCAGGTGCAGCTTCAAGTTGATGGTTGGGGTGGTGGGTGCAGCCACCTCCCCATCACCACTGTTGAGGCTGGGGTCCCCAGCACCTCTGCCATGAGGCTGATGGAGCTGCGGCCAGGTTCAGTCCCAATGTTCAACCCCCTCACCTCCTTTGTGGGCTTCATGTTTTTGTGACCCTGATAATTTTTCCTCTTCCTTCCCTCTTCTCCAAGGCTGCTCAGCTACAACAGCAACCTTGACTGAAACAGGCTTCCTCATGGCACATATGCCTGTGCTGGATGAGACATACATACCTGCGGTCCTCTGGGTCCAGGGTAGCTAAAGCCAGGTCTGCCTCTGTCACCCTTTGGTAGAAAAAAAAATTACCCATCAGAAACTAACCTGGCCTTTCTGACGTGGCAATGCCAGAGATACAGTTGTTTTCATCTTCTCTTGGGGTGAGACACCACCAGGAGCTGTGACTTCTACAGCTGGCCCTGAAACTTTGGGAATGTCTGTGTGGAGCAAGGCTTCACAGGGTCTTGGGGATGTCACATGCCAGGGACACCCCTGAATATGTGCAGGGTGAGGGATGTAATCAGAGCTGCCTTGGCCAGAGCATCTCTGCCTCATAGGGAGGCTCAGGTTTGAGCCATTCTGTTTCTGAGGCACACAAGTTTCTGCAGTGGAAACTGCCTTTTTTAATAATTAAGAAAAAGCATGCCAAAATACCCTTTTAAATGCAAAGTTGCATTCAGGTATTTTACCTTTGGTCCTGGTGGTCCAGCATCACCTCTTGGGCCCAAGTCACCAGGGTCCCCACGCGATCCCTGCAGGACAGTGTTGGGAAGAGTGGAAGAAGCAGGTGAGGATGTTCCCTGTGGCTCCCTGGCCACACATGGGACCATGCTGGAGAAACCAGCTCTTGAGATGATGCTGAGAGACCATTTCCCCTCCTGATAAGGTTACTGTGACAGTGACTGATTCAGCACGTGGGTTCCCGCATCCCGTGGAGCCACACGGATGTCACGGCACTACTGCCACAGTGGGGTGCTGGACTAACCACAGACCCAGGAAAAATGGAGTGCCTGGAGAGCCCCATCTTTCCTTCCTCCGCAACCCACCCACTCTGACGTGCTCCCTTCCATATTGTCATGGGAACACCTGGGACCGTGAATGATGGAGAAGCAGGGACTCCTGGGTCCTGTAATTTCTCCTTGCCCTGGGAAGGGCTAACCAAGGGACTCTGGGTTAATTTTTTAACTTCCCTGACAAAAGATCAGGCAGGCTCCCCTCAGGAGGGACAGTGCAGCCAGCTTATATGAGTAAGGCAAGAGGGAGGACACAGTCCCACAGATGGCCCAGGATGACTTACTATCTTGCCTGGCTCTCCCACAGCACCTGAAGGACCTCGTGGTCCTGGCAGTCCTTGGTCTCCCTGCAAAGCAAAGCAAGATGCAAGAATGTACAGAGGCAGGTACAGGCATGTGTACATTAGAAGGAAAGCCAAGTGAGCTGCCCCAGATAGCAGCAGCACTCTCCCTCCCTCCTGGCTGTCACCAACCCCTGCTCTGTGCTTACCCTTTCTCCTTTGCTTCCAACCTCGCCAGGCAGGCCACGAGGACCCTCTGGACCTGGATCTCCCTGTGAGGAAGATAAAGGTATTCCTGGTCAGGGACGACTCCAATGCTGTTTGGGTGCACGGCAGTGATCCTTAGAGCGAGGAGGCATGATGCCGTTCTCAAATCTGGTGTTTCTTGATTTGAAACACAGTGTCAGGGCAGTGTCCCCTCTGCACGTCTCTCAGTCTTGAGATTTGCTGCCCTTCATCCCCTCTCTGGATCAAGCCCTGGAAGAGGAGGCTGTACCTGCTGCCACCAGGTGCAGCAGGCACAGTGAGAGCAGCACTCACATGCAGAGACCACTAGGATCTGCAATTCCCAGCTTTGGTGTTGGACACTTCATGGTTGGGCACTAGCACGTCACACACACATCTTGGGCTCATTTTCTATAGTCTGGGCAGTTGCTTTACTCACCCTTTCTCCTTTGACCCCAGGAGTGCCTTTGCTGCCTTTAGTCCCTGGATCTCCACGTCGACCCTTGGCGAACACAGGAAGTCACATAAATGGGATGCAAAGATGGATGCTACTAGAACAGTGATGACTGACTGCCCTCCCTTCTCCCTCCTGGCCCAAGAAACATCTCCTTGCCCCCTTAGCAAGCACGTGTCTGGCAGCAGGGGAGCAGGGATGCCCATGCTGGCACTGCTGGGGAAATCTTGCCTTTGGCTTTTGGGAAGCCGCCGCCAGAATGTTCTCTCAGGAGTGTGGTCACTGTAGTGACCACAAACATTCATCGTTCATTCCCTCAGGGTTAAAGACTGCTTTACTTCCAGCTCATCTGGCATTGCTTTCTCCACTAGATCTCACACAAGGACATAAACCAGCTGGATTCTAGCATCTTGGTGCTGGTGGAGCTGTGCTATTGTATTCTGCCAGGGAACATCATGTCCAACCCACTCCCCAAATTTTGCAGTGCCCCATCACATTAGCTTGGGTCTGCATGGCACCATCGATGTCGTGACATGGCTGCGATTTGACACTGCCCTTTTAAGAGAGTTCTACTGTAACAGCCACCAAATCTTAACTCTGGGAGCTCCTGTGAGAAGCCAGAGGTTTGGGGAACTTGCTAAAGTACAGCCAAAGGGTCCCTGGGCATCCACAGAGGCACTTGTGGTTATGTGGGAATACAAGATGCTTCTCTAAGGTGAAATGGTTATCAGGCTTAGGATTATGGAATGACTACTCTGTGAAGATGGGGGAGACAAAGAGATCAGCATTTGCACATCTTTTGGGATGCAGAAGGCAGGGCAGGCAAGCTAAATGGGGCAGTTTCTCAGAGCTCGTCCATGAAACTGCATCAGGCTCCCGTGGTGTGCCCACTGTCCAGTAAGCTATTCAGACACTTACGGGCTCTCCTTTGGGTCCAGGAGGTCCTGTTTCACCTTTTCTTCCCTTACTTCCAGCAGGCCCTTGAGCTCCAGGGTTGCCTGGAAGTCCCTTAGAGATGAAAAAGAAATACAGTTTGTCAGAAGAGAGGGCAAGGGTACACACCCGTCCCTCTTGTCCTGTGTCAAGCAGTCCACACTTGAGCACGTGTGTAAGGGCACACAACTTTGGCTTCCACATACCCACCTACATGCCTATATGTCAAAGCTACATGCACAGGCTCCAGCCTTGGAGCAGTGTGATGCTGTGTCACTTCTTCTCCATCAACCAGTGCAAAGCTCTTCCTTATAGCATCTGTCCAGCCCTGCCTAAAGCTGAAGGGCTATTTCAGCCTCCTCCACTATGTCTGAAGTAACTGGCCATCAGTATAGTAACCCCTTTGGCTATAAGGTCAAGTGCAGTGGGTAAATCCTGCATTAGATCTCTGAGCAATTAATCATTAAAGTTTATTCACATGAATAAAAACAGCCTGCAAACTCCAGCACTGCCACAAACACGGAGGAAGTCATGAGACTGTGGCAAGGGTAACCATGGCCAAACAGGGATTTTCTAATCAGGAGAAGATGGGAAGAGAAGGAAAGATGTGCTGCAATGTATCAACTAGAAAAATAAATCCTCCTAAGTCTATGTTGCCTGCTTTCCTCTGCTTTGGACAAATGATCGAGCAAAATTCACATTTTGCTCTGGACAGCTGCAGGTATGTTGCATAGTCCACTCTTCTGTTGCCCACAGGACATTTCCTACCATACTGGTGGGGACATGCACAGCAGGGGAGCTCACTCAACCACGCAGGGGCTTGTGCTTTCTCCCTGCTGGTGGGCTAATTTGCAGAATCACCAAGATGCCTTGGCAAGCAGTCATCTTTGTGCTGCAGCTGCCCCATGACCAGTAGTTGATACCACACCAGCTCCATGCCACATGGAGCAGACACTGGAGAAATCTGAATGCTGTGTGAACCTACCGGGCTTCCTTTTTCTCCTGGAGGTCCTGGGGGTCCGCTGCGACCAGGCCGGCCAGGATCTCCCTGAAACAGCCACAGAGCAATGGTCATTGCCTGCATCATCAGCACCTTGCTGTGCACCACTGACGTGCACCATGAGGAGCAGGGTCAGCAAGGCTCGTCCCTTGGCTCCCGTGTTTGGTGATGGGATCCAGATCCCAGGCAGACAGAGCCTATGGACTCCATGAGTAGCGAAGAATTTAAGAGCAAATACAGGCAATGGTGTTTAGCTGTCCCCACTGGTGGCCTCTGCCCACACTTTGCTCACTGTTCAGAGTACTTGTACCTTTATGCCTTCATCTCCTCTTTCACCTTGGTCTCCTGCATCTCCTGGGTAACCATCAGGGCCCTAGGGAGGGAAAGGACAAAGAACCATACATTTTGCTGTAGCAACAATATGCATTTTCCCTGCAGAATATATCAACTGGCTTAGAAAGTTACTCTAGAGACTAAAATAGTTTTTGCTTTTTTCTAGTGTTGATAAAAGGAGAAGCTCCTCCTCTCTATGTGGAGGGGAGGGACACTGGGGGATCCCAGCTTACTTGCCCATGGATAGGAGGCACAAAAAAATTAAGGCTGTGCTCTTCATTCTGGGGATCCCAGGCTGCAATCAGGTCATGCAATCGATTGAAAAATGGGCCAGTAACCTCTCATTGGCCATACCTCTCTGCAGCTCATTCAGAAGCTAGAGTCAGGGTGATACATCTGATGTGCCCAGTGACAGAGCAAAACATTCCTACCTTGTCACCAGGGTCTCCCTTGCAGCCTGGTGGTCCAATTCTCCCCAGCTTGCCCTAGAGAGAAAGCATTCAAAAGAAGCAGACAGAGAAGCTGTAGGTATCTGAAGGGAAAATACAGCTTTTCCTGTTAACAGTTACTGATTTTAACATCATCTGCTGACCGTACCTGTGATCAGTTAGACAATAAATAGCAAGTGTATTCCTTAAACAGGATTATGGTGTGCAGAAACAAATGGTGGAGGAGAAAGTAGTTGAAGCATCCCGGGTGGTAGCATGGTTCGGTGAGAATTCAAGCATGCTCACCCCACACATGTGCCCTGGGTGATGGACACATGCCTTAAGGTTGGATTTGGTGGTCACTCATGTCCACGGTTGCACTTGTCCTCCATTATGCATTTCGCATCAGAGCAGCTCAGGTTCACAGGAACCATGAAGCCTGACAGACACTGTGAGAGCAGCGACTGCCTTGCTCTACACCTTGCTTTGCCGGCAGTGCACTCTGGCTAGGGAGCAGTGGTGAATGAAGGACTTCTGTGTTTTAGAGCTTCAGCTGGTATTTTAGGAGGGGGAAGAAGAATTGGTATTATCTCACAGATGTACTTAGCTGGGTATATCAGAAAGTGCAGAGCAAAACCTGGTCTAGTGGAAGGTGTATCTGCCCGTGGCAGGGGGATTGGAACTAGATGATCTTTAAGGTCTCTTCCAACCCAAACCACCCTATGATTCTATGAAAACCAATGTGGCCAGCAGACAAAGCCAGCTTGAAAACATCTCAAATTAGGCTGTGGGACATCTGCATGGCATGTGGATCTAAAGGAGATCATGGCTCTTAACACTCACCGGGAGGGGGTGAGTCCCCTCACTCAGAGGGGACAGAGGATTTCAGGGACTTTGTTACAAGGTACTTGAACCTGGCTTTAGGGCTTTAATATTAGGAACAAGCAGTAGCTTAGAGATGAAATTTCAGATTCTGTGACAAACTCAAATTTCTGCAAAACTTTCTGTGCACATGTCTGGTAGGGGTCACTAACACTCAAGATGAGACATCTACACATAGATTATCCGGTTGTGACACCTCCTGCAGCAGGAGCACAGCCCAGGTTACACATATATTTCCTGCAGAGAGCTTGCTGATAAAGGGATAGCACTTCTGTGACCTGAATTAATTAATCTCCAGCTAGCTCACATATTTCTACAGGACATGCAGAATAATGTGCAAATAATTTCATAGAAACCTCAGTGAGAGGGGATGGGAGAAACAAAACAACCTTTGGAGACAAGGGTGGGTAAAGAAATGAAACAGTAGCAGTGCCATTACAGGGTGCTCCCAAGTGGTGTTACCTTCTGTCCATCAGTGCCGTTCCTGCCTGCCAAACCAGCAGCACCCTGGGATCAAGAGGGAGAAAAGAGGGATCAGTGATCTGTTAACACACACTGAATGGCTGGTAGCTCGAACAACAGGCCAGTTAGAAAATGTCCTTTCTTACCCTCCGTCCATCGGATCCAATCTCTCCCTGGGGGAAGAAGAGATCAGGAGTCAGCCATTCTGCCGACATCACCTCCCATCCATTTGCATTGTAAAAACATCACCACTTCACAAGACTGTAAGCAATGCCTGAAGGAGGAAACAGGCTTTGGGATGCCCCTGGAAATCCCTCCCCGTGTCCGCAATTACATATTAATAGGGTTGCTATTCTCCCCATTACAGCTAAACTCTCCCTCTTTGCAACAGAAAGTTGCCCCTCCCATCCCAGAGCCAAGACATGCCATTTAGTTTCTTCTGTCTCACCTTCTCTCCTTTCAGCCCTGGGACACCCTAGACAAAAAGAAAAGAAGAAAAACCCTGCATTAGTGCCTGGGGATCAGCAGGAGCAGAGGCAGTGGAGCACCGGGAGTCTTATGTGGGAAACGGGCAGGTGAGAGGGAGAAGCAGAGCTCCCCCTACTTTACCAAAAATCAATGAATGCAAAGAGCTCAGTCACTGGCTATAGGATTCTTACCTTGGGACCAGGGTATCCAATTGGACCTTCAATACCTGGGTCACCCTTAAAGGAAGAAGACACCAAAAGTTAGCTTGAGCAAAGCAGAGATGCGGCCCCAGCTAACGCAGGGAGAGCACTGCTGGCTGCGGTGGTGGGGGACTTCCCGTGACTCACCTGTCGTCCCTTCAGCCCAGGGGAGCCTGGCTCACCCATGTTCCCCTTTGCACCCTAAGGAAAGAAAAAACCCAATGTAAGCCCGGGCTTGTCCTGACTGTGAGAAAATGGCAATTTCTAGGAGCATCAGGCTCACTGCAGCAACTCCTACAGAGCTTGGGGCAGCGTGCTGGTGGAGCAGGACCTTCTTTACTCCGGGGCAGACAGGGAAAGGCTATACGGGGAGCGAAACACACAGAGCTGGGGACAGGAGAGTGAGACACCCTGCACACGTGAGAGCTCTGCTCTTGAGGATAGGAGAACCGAAGACAACTGCTGCCTCACTCCTGTTGTCATCAGGTGCTGAAGGTGCCGGCTGTGGCTGGCACAGCCAATGCTCAGATGCCTCTCTGCACTGCTGCAGACATGCACCAGCCTCGCATGGACATGAGGAGACACCGGTGCTGGCTGTATGCTCCGTTCACTGCAGCATGGCAGTGTCCCAGGGCCAAGTCAGATGCTGGGGAGTTATTTCCCACCTGGGCGCTATGCCTGCAAACGCTGCTGCAGCTGACATGAGATCTAGGGCTTCCTGCAGTGTCTGTGGCAGGCATGGGAATTATCCTCCTCCCACGGGTTAGAGCGACTTACCTTCTGCCCTCGGTATCCCTTGGGACCAGGTGGACCTGCAATCTCCAGGCAGCTCATCTTGTAGCACTGAAATACAAATTAAACATGTGTAACCACTCTGCTGCAGCGTGCTGGCTGCTTCATGTGCTGAGCCAGCACACACCTGAAACTAAGCTCTGCACCATGGCTCTCCATGCATCTCTCCCTATGACCACAGTGCTAAAAACTACTATGGCTCCAGCTGGGTCTGAGTTGAGGCAGCAACAGCGTGCAGAAAAATACTGCCCATAAATTAAAAGCAGAAAGTTGCCACAAGCACATTCATTATGGCTTGACTCTGGGCCCAAACTGAAAGAAAAGGAATGCTAAGTATCAGGCGAGGTGGTGTAGGCTCTTCTGAGGCCACCAGGGGATGCGCATGCCCTTTGGAACATTGCTCTGCATACTCCTCCCTATATATGCCAAACCCTGTACATGTGATACCAGCAGGGCAGAAGCTTCAGTTTGCAGAGCACCTACAAAACATGCCTCCAAAGTGACAAAGTTAGTCTATTCAATAGACCTGAATACATTACAGGAGAGGGGGAGAGCAGAAAGTGAAGAGTCCATTATGACATTTTAACCACTGGATAAAGGGATGGATTCCCAGGCTCTGCACTGATCCACAGGTGGGCAGGCACCCATCCCGTGCAGCTCGCTGCAAAATGTGGCCTGCTACTTCGGGGTACAAGCTGGTCTTCTCTAAATGAGGCAACTTAAGCCTGTGTTGTGTGACCATGGCATAAAGATGCTGCTCACTCACCTCTCCATAGGCTTCGTGTTTCTGCAAAGGAGAAAACAGGATGGACAGAATCAGTTAAGGTGGTCAGGCCCAAGAGAAAAGCAGTATCACACCCTTGGAGGTGTGTGTGATGGTAAGGTAGAGGAGGTGGTAAAGGTCCTACGGCTTTAAAGACATTCTCAGCAGAGTCCCCAGTTAACAGTGGCTCACAGGTGGGGCCTCAAAGACCATGCTAATGGTGAGCACGTCTTGGTGCTGCATAGTCTTCCATGCATCCCTGGATGGGGAGCAGTACGGGTCTGGCCTTAAGCAAGAGCCAGGACTGGGGTGGCAGTCTGCCCAGGCATGCAGACATGCCGGGGAACAGATACACAAACCAAGAAGTCCAGGTTAAGAACCTAACCAGAGAAATCAGAGATGCTCAAGACTCCATTTGGCCCATAAGTTCTGAAAGGACATAAAGGAAGAGGAAGAAAACAGAGGCTTTTCCCTGCTAGAGGTGCTATCTAGAGCAGTCCCAAAACCCACCACGGGGCTGCTCAGAAAGCATCCCCCCCATCCACATGCTGCTTCTCTTATCCCCACCATTATAATCCCTGCACCTCAGCTGGCACTCCGTACCATAACTTGGATTATCCTCTCAATGGTGTTCACATCGATGTTCAGGGTGTCTTTCTGCGTGATGGCATAGTTGTTGCGGTACAGCTCATGGGGCAGGTTGGCGATCTCCCGCAGTCCCTGCTCGTAGAGGTTCTTGCTGGGGGCCACTGCAAAGAGCTTGATCCCCATGTCTCGCGCCCTTTCAGCCTGCATCTTCATCCCCCCACAGGGGCTGCCAGTGACATGGCCATCAGTGATGACTACTGCAAAGTTCACACCTGAGGCCATCTGGGTCTGAATCTGCTCTGTCATATTGGAGATAGCGCAGTCTGTGAAGGTGCCTCGGCCAAGGTAGTTAATAGCGGACAGCCTGGGGAGGTATATGTCTTTGCTGCTTGTTAAAGGGCTGTAAATTTCCACTACGTCCGAGTAATGAAGTCCACCAAACTGCCAAGTGATGTAGACTTGGTTCTGGTAGAGTTCATTCTCCAGTTTATTGATGAACTCAGGGATGAACTGCTTTATTTGATCCACGAGGCTCTGGATAGGTACAGTCTGCAGAGCAACACTCTCTGAGGTGTCAATGATGAAGTACACATTGATGGGGCAGTTCCTCTTTTCTGCATGGAGACAATTATTCAACAATGTCAGAGCACTTTATGCACCACTACACACACTTCACTGTCCCCCAGAAACTTGGACTAAAAAGTGTATGAAGACAGCACATAGAGGACAGCACACAGAGTTGCGAAGAGAGCAAACCACAGCATGAGGTCTGAGGTTCAGCTTGCTGTGAGGTGTGGCAGCTCTTAACTAATCAGGAGTTATTTGCTCCTGGGTTGGAGAAAATGAGGAAACGGAGGACTAAGTGCCAGGTTTGAATGAAGAAGAGCAAGGGTATGACTTCTACTCTCCTGCACTAAATGAATGCCCTGCCTGCCAGGCTGCTTGTTGCTCTCTGATTTATAAACATGGTTATGATCAAAAAGATCATACCCAAATGTGATACTGGAAAAAGCACAAGTTCCATTAGCTCCAGCCGTAACATCTGTGTTCGGGTCAGACAACTCTCCAGCACCCAGGAATTCAAAATCCTAAGATCTGCTCACTATTGAATCAATCTTGAAAATCTTGCCATTTTTTTGTAAAAGTCGGGCTGGACATATAAATCACTTTCTCCACTTTGCAACTGAAAAGCACTGAAATTGTCAACTTCAAAATGGACTATTATCTGACATCAAATACAGAGCTGAGCTCTAGAGACTGACTGGTATTTATTACCGCATCAGCTGGGAGAAGGCAACACTGGCAGACCCCAGGTATTCAATCTCTACCTCTTTGCACTTCAATGCAAATCCAGAAACGGAAGATTTGGTGGAGGATGGTGTTCCCTACAGAAGGATTGCTACCCCAGGTCACTGCCCAGGTGTGTGAAGGGGCAGGAGAGGTGTAACGTGCCACTGTCAGTTCCTTGTGAGCAGGCTCTACAGCTGAGCGTGGCCATTACTTTTGGTGAAATTGCTGCCTACAAAGGGGAGAGACACCAAAATTATCTGGTTAATACCTGCACAGGAGGTAGGACTGACATCTCCAGGATCACCATCAAACTGAGCATGGAGAGGAACTAGAGCCACACAAAGGAGAGTGGAAAAAAAGGCTTCTTGGAACATCTCAGCAGTTCCTCTGGGAATTTAGATGCCTGTGAAAAAACACAAGTTACACGTTAAGCACAATACACAACCTCCTACCTGTGCTGGGAAGATACAAAGCCAGCCAATGATCCTTGTAAACCCTGTGTGTGAAAAACACAACCTCTCCATCACCTTGATGCATCACTGGGCTGCTAAAGTAGATTTTTATATTGACTTGAAAGCTAAGCAATTCAAACATTTCCTTTGTTGGAGTATGGGTGAATTATTTAAAAGTGCTTTAGCTTCTCTGTCAGTCTGAAGGGAGGGATCAGGTGGTGCAGCTATTGACAGTGCGTCAGGATCTTCTGATTTCATGGGTTGTCTCCAGGTGTGTGTCTGTCTGCTTCATGACCACATTGATTCCATCGCCCCAGATCCATGCAAATATAAGCATCCATGCTAATTTCTTCGCCTGCTTAGACAGATCACTAATGAAGGTGTGCAGCAGGTCCTTTCCACCTCCAGCTCGCCATGTGGGTGTGGTGATGCCTACATATACCAAAAAGGTACAAAATCCCCTGCTTAACAGCGCTGCTTTGTAGGTGGCACAACCCATGGAGTGAAGGGATGAATAAACAAGCACTTGAAGCAATGCACATCTTTAGCATTCAACCCATCACTGAGCTTCCGAGGTCCAGCTGCACATGAGTGTATATCTTGTGTAAGGTTATGATAACTTAAGCAGCAGAAGAGTTGGAGATCTAGGCTGAAAAGTTCTTGGGAATATAAGTGCTCAGAGGAACTCAGGCTTTGAAAGGATATTCACTGACAAACCCAAGTGACACTTACCAACAGCAAAGAATATGGAGGAAGAGGCAATGCTTGCCTTTATGTCTAGAGGACAATTGCACTAACCAGCATGGCCCCTTGACGGCACAGAGACCCAGCAGTAGCATAGACACTTTTCTGCTTGGTGGTCCACGCAACACAAAATAAAAAGGGGCATGTGTGATCTTTGTTAGGAAAAGACGGCCTGAGTCCAGTCCAGAAAGAAAGCTTCTTCCTTAAATGGCTTTTTTGGGTAGCTCTTGGAAGAATCCAAGGATTGAATGGACACTGACAGTGCATTCAGTTGCATTGGCAGTGCAGGGGGAGGGCAATTCAGTAATGCAGCTGAGCTGCTGCCTTAGTTGCATGAGAAATGACATTCCCTGAGGAATACAGACAGCTCAGCTCCCATGCATCTCTCTAGAGATCTATCTCCATGTAGTGACCAGCAATTCCCTGCTGGGACACATCCAGTTCCAGCTTACATAGCAAGCTGCAGCATATGACAGGGTTCTGCAAACTGGTTTATGCTGGAAAGGCTGGTTCCTATCCATGCTGCCAATATCCTTACAACAGTGACAAATTTTCTCCTTACTAAGGCTTGTGCATATGCTAACAAGCCTGCAAGAGCCATTGATCAGGCCAGATTTTAGATAGGGGAAGGAGAAACCCTCATGCTTGTTGGAGATCTCCTGGCAGAAGGGGACAAGAGATAGAGAGATCCAAAAGCTCCAGGAATACCAACTTGAGGTGCTTCACAGACATAGCTCAGCAAAGCCCTCTGACATTGAGGGCCTCTCACATGCCTCCAGCTCAGCATTCAAATATCCCAAGTAGTTCATGGGTCCTTTTTCCCCACCCCCAGCTCTGAGAGGCTGCACAGCTGTTTGCAAAGAGACCTGACAGCAGCCTCATGAAGTTCCTGCATAGGTAAGTGTGGCTCAACTTTCATTGTGCTGCAGAGAACAGAAGAGGTATCGTAAGGATAAAATACTTACTTTAATGCTAGAGGGGTATTTTAGTTAATATCAAGACTTCCTCCCTCTAGCCTTATTACAGGCTTCCCTTGTCTTGTTTGCCCTCCACAGAGCTGCAGGAGATCCTGATCTCTTGTAGGACACAACAGCTTTGTGCCTTCAGACAGCACCATTTTAGAGACAGCCTTTCATGACAGCTGAGGAAGCTGGAGACATCAGCTTTTGAAGAGTCTGGGAATACTGGAAGTTTTGGCCAAGTGTCTGACTCACAGGTCATGGCGTCCAGAGTATAACCACCTCCCTCCCTCCATTCTGCCATGTGCGCATGTGTGCAGACGAGCTGCTCTCCAGGCAGAGCTTCAAGGAGCAGCTAAACTGCATGGGCAACCAGGGCCAGCTCTGGCACAGGACTGCCCCTGCCCGCAGCCCTTGGGGCTTTGGGCTAGATCAACGAAGAACCATGGCCTTGGCCTTTACACATGCAGAAAAGCAAGGCAGAAAAGTGACAGCTGAAAACACTAGACACACTTCACTTCTTTGTGGTTCTGTTGCACACAGTCTCCTTTATTTCACTCTGTCACAGGCACTCTGTCTCCCTCAGACAGGAACTCTGTGTCTCAAACTACGTTAGTCTGCTATACCAGCATCCCACCTGGTCATTAACAGTGGATGGACACATAGAGGGGAGGCCCCTCTCCCCACCTAGGGGGTCTCTAAGGCTGGGGTGGGTGGCGGTGCCTATTTTGTCATCCTCAGAGCACTATCAGCTGTTGTGATTCTCTCACAAATCTCGTAACATTTGATATTTTCCTTAAAGCTCCACCTTCTGCTGCAAAACACTCAAATAGAAATATTAGATTTCACCAGCAAAAGGGTATATTTCCGACAAACCCATTTTTCTGGGTGTTGATGACAATGTTTTAACACTGATGGCCCAGAAAACTAATGGAAAGAGCAAATTGGGAGCCGACTCGTTCCATTTGAATACTTGAGTCTGCCCATCCTCTTCTTCCTTGACCTCTCTCTCTCTGCAAGAGCAGGACCATGGTATTGCAGGAACAAGGCGTTACAAGGATTTCTCCTGAAATGTCTTTCTCTCAATATTTATATTGTTGAGTCATGCGTCTCCTTCCCCATGACATGCACACAAAGAAAGAAAGAACAGAAAATCTCAAGCAGGGGTTTTGGGTCCTCTGAACAGATTTTGAGGGCACTGCTTTGCACTATCCTCCCTGAATTAGGGTCTATGCTCCTATCTAATGCCTCAGGTGCTCAGCAGAAAAATGCATGGTCTTCTCTGCTGCTCCCACACTCAGATCCCAGGTGGCCTGGCTGTTATCCACATAATTGCAAAAGTATATGGAGTTACCTACACTGACACCTGCAAAAATGGTGGTCTTGCAGGAGGACCTGAGTTCTCTGCTTGTGGGTACCTCTTCCCACCCTGAGCAACTGAACCAAATGACTTGCAATACTCTTTCAAATGTACAAATTACAGTTGGCTTACTGGCAGTCTCACATATGATTATCAGATAAATCAGATTTTAACACACTAAAAAGGCCACCCCATGTGCCTGGCCAGGCAGAGCCATGGTCTGTCATATCCCACATATTGATATTTCTGAAGTTCCTCCTGGTGCACCGTGTATTTCCACTTCAATACCACAACACCTATTATAGTTGAGCAAATTGTTTCCAAATTTACAAATATTCAGGTGGTCCACTCTCTAAGATAACTCTGCCTGCAAGGAGCTTATTTAAGGCCACAAAAATGCGTTACTCTCAAGAAAGGAGAATTATGCTAGCTATATAATATGCAGAATAAAGTTTGAAACCACACTGCTGCTCTGACACAGACACACTCCCAGCTTTTCTCACAGCCATGCCCAGCAGGCAGTGCCGGTGGCGCCATCCACTTGTGCAGGCAGCATTTTACACCACTCAAACGTTTGCCAAATAAAATAAAACCAGGGGAAAAAAAAAAAAAGTGTCCCATTTGGAACAAAAGCTCTTATAAACACACCCCCTCTTCCTCGTTTGAGTGCCCATGATTTGCACAGTGCATGCGTAGGGAATGTCAGTGTTTTTTGCAGCCACCACCCAAACGTGCCCTGTAGTTTTAGTCCCAGTGCACACCACCCACGGGGAAGGTTTCCCGACAGCTGCCAGGGAGCCCAGCTCTTCTCCTGCTCCCTTACTGCAACTATCCCGGGACTTCAGCCAGGGGAAGGCTGGGGGGAGCAGCCCCCACCGGGTGCTCTGGCCGCAGGCCCATGCCTGCGCCCCAGGGGGATGCTGCAGCCTCCTGGAGCTTTGGCGCTGACAGCCAGAAACCTCCATTTACAGCACTCATGGAGACCCTTGCCACCAAAAAAAATAGCTAACCCCAGGAGGCATTGCGCAACGAGCTCACAGGCATTTCTGAACCTGCTGTTAGCCCCCAAAATAGAGGAGCTTGTGCTGATGAAACTCAGCATAACAAGGAGAGATGAATCACAGGTTAGTCTAAGCCATAGCTTCTGAAATTCCCAAAATCATAGAGGAATCATGCAGCAGAACAGTCGCTCTGCTGCACAGCAGCAGCGGATACCGTGCTGCTACTGCTGCCATGCCTTCGGTGTAGCTGGTGAACTCAATTCCATTGCCTCAGGCAAAATTTTGGTTCAACAGGTCCCCCCAGAGGGATTTTCTAGACCTCTGTCCCTGGCAGATGAGATGTGGCTCACACTACCTGCACCTGGAAAAACCTCTTGGAAAAATGCCCAAACTAGCCAAAAGCTGAAAGCAATAGAAAAATATATATTCTTTTATAGCAGGTACTGTCTAAACACGATGTGCCTGAAATGAGCAGCTTACTGGAGAGCAGAAAAGGCTGTGCAGCCCACAGGGGCACAGGCAGGGATTTCGGAGGCTGGCTCTTTTATTCCTAGCTGGAGAACCGTCAGTAAATAGCCGCACGACCGCTGTACAAGGAGAGGAAAGCTCTGCCTACCTGGAAAACGAGGTCATCAAAATTTCCTTCAAAAAGCCTCTGAAATGTCAAGGAAAGGACTTTGTGGAGTCGCTCGTATCAGGAAGGCTCCTGCATCCCCGGCTGAAGGGTGAGCTCCCAGGCTTTGGGTGCTCGGGGGTGTGTGGGGAGGAGCGGCCGGGAGCAGCAGAGGCGTCTCCAGCCCAGTCTCTCTATTCCCTCGCGGGCTGGAACTGCCCTCTATATTCCTCCTCCTTCAGAATCAGGCAGAGCCTCATTTGTAGTAGCTTCA